GTAAACATGGATGTGCATATATCGCTATGGTGTAATGTTTTTAATTCTTTTGGGAAGATACCAAGAATGGGAATAGGTGAGTCAAATGGAACCTCTAGTCCTAGTTTTTTTTTTTTCCCTGAGGAATTTCCACACTGATTTCCACAGTGGTTGCACCAGTCTATGCTCCCACTGACAGTGGAGAAATTATTTTTTCCTCACAGCTCCACCAGCATTTGTTAGCTATTCTTTCTGGGGTGAGATGGAATCTCAGCATTGTTTTAATTTGCATCTCTCGAATGACTAGTGATGTTGAACATTTTTCCATATATTTGTTTGCTATTTGTATTTCTTTATCTGAGAAGTGTGTATTCATCTCAGATGCCCATTTTGGGGTTGGGTCTTTAAATTTGGGGGGGTCTGATTTTCTTGAGTTTTTTTTTTAACCAGTGGCCAAGTTTATTTGAAAAAGTAAGTTAAGAGTGAGGGAGAGACTGGCTCTGCAGAGCAGGTTTTGGCCGAGTAAAAGGAGAAAAAACAATAAAAGGACACCCTGAAGAAAGCAGGGTGGACTTCCATGAGGTACACTGTGCTAGCCTCGAGTTCTTTATATGTTCTAGAGAGTGATCTTTTGTGTGAGGAACAGCTGCTTAGTCCTCTTTTAAACTGGGTTGTTTGTATTTTTATTATTGAATACAGTTCTTTATTTTTAAATCCATTATCAGACATATGGTTTGTAATTCTGTGAGTTGTCTTTTCTCTGTGTGTGTGTTGGGGGGGAGTCAATAGGGACAAAATCTCAGGGCACTCTGCCACTGTGCTACATCTTTAGCCCCATCCCCTTTTAAAATAATTTTTTTGAAACAAGAGTCTCGCTAAGTTGCCCAGGCTGGCCTCAAACTTGTGATTCTTCTGCCTCAGCCTCCCGAGAAGTTGGGATTACATGCATGCCACTGCACTGGGCTGTCTTGTCTTTTTCTAGGTGATGTCTTTTAAGACACACAATTTTTAATTTTGATAATGTATAATTTATTTTCCACCATTGCCTTTGCCCTCGGTTTCATATCTAAGAAAATAGCTTAACTCAAAGTTTTAAAATCTTTATTTTTTTTCTAAGAATATTAAGGTTTCAACACTTTAATTTTGATATCTGACCCATTTTGAGTTAATTCTATATAATGTAAGGGCCAGCTTCTTTCTCTTGCATGTGGATATCCATTTGTCCAGCAACATTTGTTGGAGAGCTTATATTCCCCATTTGGTACTCTTATTGAAAATCAATTGTCTGTAAATATAAAGGGTCATTTTGTTTTGTTTTGTTTTGGTTTGGTTTGGTTTTTTTGAACTGGGTCTCACTATGTGGTTCAGGCTGGTCTTGAACTCAGTGTAGCCTAGGCTAGCCTTGAAACTCATAGTAATCCTCCTGCCTCAGCCTCCTGAGTGCTGGGATTACAGGTATGTGCCACCATGCTTAGCTGTTTTGTTTTTTACTTTCAGTTTCTTTCTTGGTATCCTAGGTGGGACATAAACACACAATCCCTGGCTTAGGAAACCAGACACTCGATTCTATCCCTTTGATCTCTGTGTCTGCTTTATGCAGTACCGTGTAAGTTTTGAAGTAAGAAATTATGAACCCTCCTGATTTATTTTTTTTTCAGGATTGTTTTGGTTATCATGGATCCACTAAATTTCCATTTGCCATCTTTCTTTCTAATTGTTTTTGAAAATATATCTCTAATTTTACATCCATGAGATCATAATGTATAGCAATTTATTTTCACATGCTCCTCTTTTTAAATCTAATTATAAACATCTCTGTGTTATCGAGTTCTTTTACATGATTGGCTACATAATTTAGTTATTTTCCTGTTGGTTATTTCTTTCTAAATGCCTCTACTACAGATGTATTGCTGCTGTGGCTGGTCTTATTTATAAATCTTTGCATGCCCTTCAAATTAATATTGTGGAATAAATTCCCTAGAAGTGGCTTTAGGGAAATTTAATTTCAATTGTGCAGCTATTGAAGATATTTTTACATTGAAAACATTAACTTTTTAATTCATACTTTTGACATGATTTTCCTAAAAGCAATAGAATAGGCAGACAAACAAGGAATCATATCTCAGTTTGGCATCTGAGAAAACTCACTAACCTTTTTATGCCTCAGTTTTCTCATCTGAAAAATGCAGAGAATAATACCATTGGGTTGTTTTGAAGACTAAATGGCCCTGCAGATATCTAGAACTCAATAAGTAGTACCTATAAAAAATATTTTCATTGATAAAATAAAATTCTGAGATAGCCCAAATTTAACTTAGGCCAGAGGGAGATAAGAACTGGGAAGAGGTAAACAAATGAATCAGTTACCAGCTACTGGCTGAAACCAACGAAAGCCTGTTCCATATTGTGGAGTATGTGTTAGAACCATGATTTTAAATCCCTGGTGACCAGTTCCTGGTGCCCCTCTGTGCCACTTGTGTATAAACTTTTCAGGCCACTCGCCCATCCAATCCTAAAGCAATAAGTACTTCTCCTTGTGGATTGTTCTATCCCAGAACTTTCCCCAGTTTGCGTTATCCAGCCCCTCATATCTATAGCTAATGTAAGTTCAGTGTGAACAGTTTATGCTGTCTTTCCCCAAATTCCATCATAAAAATTCTCACAGCTCTTAAGTGTGAAGGGCGTATTTCCAACTGCTATCTAGCATGGTGCTGGCACTTGGGGGATGCTGCTCTTCTCACTGACATTCTACACCCCTGAGCCTTTGGCAGGTAGGTTTGGCAAATTCCTGAGATGCTCTCAAGGCATCTTTCCTATGTCTCAGTGCAAAGTACTTGGCTTCTTTTTGCTCTCCTCAGCAACCACAGCCCCTCTGTAACTTTAAATTACACTACGTTTCTGGTAAAAATGCAGGTGTAGCAGATCTTTCTACTCTGCTTTTGCTCCCAGTTCACCTTGTAAATCTAGCTAAAAGCAGCCAGCAATACCTCTGCCACAACCTCAATGCTGTGCTACCTTGAAATTTCAATTTCATCTTCCACAAAGCCTCAGAACATGAGCAAAATGTAAAAGGCAAGCTTGTTGCCAGAATGTGACCTTCATGGCCTTTAGTACCCTTCCCCAACTGACATCTCCTCCCCAGGTACTGTTATCAGCATTCTGGTCTTTTGAGGTCCTACTAAATTGCTCACCACATTCAAGTTTTTATGAGCCTGCATCTCCAAATCTTTGCAGACTTCTCCTGCAAACCAAAGGTTCTGAACCACATCAGCAGGTATAGTCACAGAGAAATAGTTCTGTACAAGCTGAGGTCGTGGTCTTGAAGGATGAAGTCATAAACCAAAAGGAGGAACTTAGGGGAGTTTTTACTGGAAATAAGGAGAAGAAGAGAAAACGATCCTGGTTTTTCCAAGAGGAGAACCCTAAAAGTGGGCTTTCTGCGTGGCATGGCAGTACAGAACTTTTTAAGGCTAATTGGAACATGAGAATTACCCAATTGTTTAGTGGCCACCTGTCATAGATGGCTCTGTGAATTTAAAATGACCAATTATAACTCAGAATGTAGGGTTTAAAGGAAGCCAGGCTTTTAGAGTAAAACTGGCTATTTTGCATTTTAAATTCCTCAAAACTAGGAGCTTAGCAGGGAGGGGCTGCAACACTTGTTGCCTGAAGAAGTTCATTGTTGGTCCAAAGTCGTAGTTCACTGTCTGCTACTATTTTAATTCTTCTCAATAAGGCTGATCATCTAACTCTACCTGGGACCTCTCTGATTGCCTACTTGTCATAACTAAATTAAGCTATGACAACAACAATGACTGTACTATATTGTATTTAGTAATTAGCAATAGTAAATTTCTGTGCTGCTCAGAGGTTTCTGTTGCTGTGACAAAATACCTGAGGCAAACAACTTAAAAAGAGGAAAAGTTATTTTTTCAGGAAAATAAAATTCCATTTTATTGTTGGGCAGCATTGTTCCAATGATCAAACAGATGAAAATAACAACTTCATAGATGAAAAATATAAACAAACGAATAAATAAATAAGAAAAAAGAAACTTCTACCTTTGGACCTTTTAACCACCTCATACAAACCAATTATTTATAGTACATCTAAATAAATACACAACAAGAGCTACTGGAATGCTTGGAATAAGTTTTTTTGTTTGTTTGTCTTTTGGTATTAGGGATTAACCCAGAGGCTTTATTATTCACATTATTTTATTTTGAGATACAGTCTCTCCAAGTTGCCCAGGCTGGGCTCAAACTTGTGATCCTCCTGCCTTAGCCTAAGGAGGAAAAGTTTATGTGTCTTGTTGAATCAGAAGTTTCAGTTCATGGTTGGGTGGCTCTATTGCCTTTGACCCTGTGGGAAGGCAGTGTGTAGCTGCAGGGAGCACCTGACAGAGGAGGTCTGTCCATCTCAGCATGCGAGGAAAAGCGGGGAGAGAGGAAAGGGGGAGAAGGTGGGAGTAAGAAAGGGGAAGAGGAGGAGATGGAAGGAAAGGAGAGCGGGGAGCTGAGGGGAAGGGGGAAGAAGAAGGAGAAGCTCCTGTCCTCTGGAATTTTTATAGGCACTTCATTAGGTAGACATGATTGATTAAACCATTATGCATTGGTGATCAATTCTCCCCTCCCCAGAGGGAGGGATGGTGCTGAAAGTTTCAATTCTTTAATTAGGTCCCTTTGGCGACCATCCCTGCTCCTGAAGCTATCCTGGAACTCCCAGCTGTCAGTTATCTCATTAGCAAACGAAAAGAAAGTTATCACTGCAAGATTCCTAGGGTTTTAGAAACTGTACCAGGAAAACAGGATAAAGACCAAAATGTCTATGTCTTATTATATCACAGTAACACACCTGTTATACGCCAGGCAGTCATCTGGTGGATTGTTATATGTAATCTCAGTTAATGAATTTAAATACAGTGAGTCCCCGTCTTACAAACAGTCAAGTTGTGAACTTTCACAGATACAAAAGGCCCTTGCATTATAAACATTTGTAGATGCAACAAATCTTGGAAGTACCTCACGTGTCTGCTGGACACTGTCACAGCGGTGCTGCTGTGTGCTCACTGTACCGTGCGATGGTGTGCCATAGTGCAGTGCTCAGTCAGAGCCCGGGGTGTCTGGAAGAGAGGAAAAGCGGTGGTGATGTGGAGGGGACTGTGAGGAAGTGCAGAGCAATAACCTTGGAGAAAAAGTGAAAATAGTTGAGAGATTGGACCAAGGCAAAAAGTAGACATCGCTTGGTCTTTTTGTGTATATGTTTGTTTTTTTATGCTTTACATTGTGTATTTGTGTCAAAGGTGTGTAAGATTCACTTTGCCAGACTTATGAATGAATCTGACTTACAAACCAATCTGACTTAGTAACCAATGGAACTCATCTGTGAGTCGGGGACTTACTGTATCAAGATTACCCTGTGTGGTGAGGTTCAGGAGGAAACGATTGTATAGGTGAGGAAAGGGAAGCTGTAAGCTTCCAGAGGGCCCATGACTGGGTAGTGGGTGTGCTGGTGGTAGGTGCTAGAGTCCGGATGTAAGCTGTGTCTCTTTGATACTAATCTAGTATTCCCACAGAACAGGAGCTCCTTGATGTTCCTGCAAAGGGTGTGTGTCCTTTTGACAGCTGGAAACTGAGAGAGGGCTTGCTTGGGGTGTTCACAGGAAGCTGGAGTAGAGTTTTGTTCCTTGGTTCAACAAGGCCTGCCTGAGTGCCTGCTCTGGGCAATGGACCAGACGAGGCAGGTGCTGAGGATGCAATGGAAAACATAAGCCAGCTCCATGCTGTAGTAGAAACAGGGCCTAGCAGAGAAGGCAGGTGCTGCTCAGGCAATCACATGAATACTTGATTGCAAACTGCCATCCGTGCTTTTCAAGGTCTGGGTGCTAGGAGAGACTTGGGGATGTGGGCTATAAGCTAAAGGACTTGTTGAGATTGAGAGGCAGACAGTGTTCTTGAATTTCAAAAGGGCACTGGATGCAGAAAGACCCTTGTGATGAAGCAGGAGAGCGCAGTGGCCCCGGGACCTTAGTAAAGACTTTGGAGTTGATCCCATGGCAGCATCAGAAGGGTTTTATAGCCGGCCATGGTGATGCCTGCCTGTAATGCCAGCCACTTAGGAGGCCGAGGCAGGAGAATCACAAATTCCAGGCCAGCCTGTGCGATTTAGGGAAACCCTGTCTAAAATTTTTTAAAGGGATGGGGATGCAGATCAGAGGTAAAGCACTTGCCTAACATGCACAAGGCCCAAGGTCCAGAGTCAGCAGCAAGGTGGGGGAATAGAAAGATTAGTGTGGCTGCAGATGGAGGGTGGATCAGGATGACCTCATGGCAGTGGAGATGGGTAGAAGTGGATGCATGTAGGGGACATTTGCAGAGTAAAAGTGACATAGGTGAGATGAATCATACTTTCTAAAAATGTAGGTTTATTTGGAGACAGATGTTTCCCACCTTAGTAAGTGGTTGAAAACATTCATGTTTTCTTTTCAGGGCACCAGGGGGCTGCACTTAGAACTCTGTGGTTGAGATTTCTGGAATGTTAATTCCTTTTTCCCCCCTCAATACTGGGGATTAAACCTAGGACCTTCACACTGAGCTACATCATCAGCCCTTTTTATTTTTTACTTTGAGACAGGTCTTGCTAAATCACTAAATTGCCCAAGCAAAGATCAAATTTGTGATCCTCCTGCCTTGACTCCCAGAAAGCTGGGATTGCAGGGTTGCTTCACCACACTCAGCTTCATTCCCTTCTTTTAATATCTGATACCTTTGGTGTCTTGGTCCCTGGTATTCTTCACTAAGTTTTGTCTGCCCTGGGTTCTGAGTCAGCCATCAAGACAGTGAATACTGTTTCAGAACCACTAAATATGATTGAAATAATCTCTCAATTATTTGTCAACTTGTGACACTTATGGAGTTGCTGTTTAAAAATAAATTGGAGCATGTGTTTCCATTTCTCTTAAAGGCAGCATTGAATTCACAGAGCTCCTGCCAGTCTGAATGGGATGAGAATTGTTTATACCCTCAGCTCATTCAGAATGCCTGGGATATTTCTAAAGGTTCAAGTCTTGGCAGCAGCAGCTGAGAATGCAGAGATAAATTAAAAAAGTCACAAGACAAGGCTAACGGGGTTCATCTGTGTTCGTTCACACCCGTGACTCACTAGGCTTTTGAAGACAGAATTTTGAAGGTCAAGCTAGTAGGTGGCGACTGTTTCAACTGCTGTACTGAAGCACTACTCTTCATGTACTTTAGCTAATTGCAAAATAGAGCAACCCTTGTCAAGTAAAATGTAGAAATAAATAATAATATGTAGAGATATAAATGTGTATGAATAACACAAACTAATGCTTACCTGTAGTGATGTGTTGAAATATTGGTTAGAAAATAAATATTTCCATTTTTTATAGTAGCTGCATTCCTTGTGCAATTAAGAAATAATTTTACTGAAACTTTATCACATACTGTGCAATGTGTACAATCATATTTCATATTTGTACTCTACTGAGGGGAGGGTCTTAGACTCCTGTTAGTCAGATTTACAGTACTATAACAAAACACCTGAGATAACAGGTTACAAAGAGAAAAGGTTTGTGTTGGTTCCTTGTTTTAGAGGTTTCCATCTAGGACTGGTTGGGACTGTTGCTTTGGGCCCATAGTAAGGTACCATATTATACTGGGGAGCACAGGAGGCAGCAGGCTGTTTTACTTCATGGTAGAGTGTAAGAGAGAAAGGAAAAGGCAGGGCCAGGGTCCCAATATCCCCTTTGATGGTACCCCCAACACCTGATTCCTTCCACTAGGCCTTACCTCCTAACAGTTCTGGCACCTTGTAATCAAGCCATAGGCTGGGGACCAGGCCTTCAACAGACATCAACATATAAGCTTTGCAGGGACATTCTTCCAAACCCTAGCATATCACCGTGTTATGGATGAGAGAACAGAGGCTTCTGCAGGTTGAGAGACTTATTCAGTCACCTAGTTGATAAACGGTGGGATTCAAAGCTGAATTTCTCTGCTTCCCTAAGATGTGTTCTTAGCAACTAAGCCCTGCTCGGGTGGCCCATTGCCGACTTTGCTTCTGTGGCCTCCTTCCCTGACAGGGCCTCAGTTTCCCTCACCTATGAAAACAAGCCTTTTATTAAATGTCCCTCTTCCCCATGACTCTGTCTCACTGTAACGCATCTTGCCACCTCCAGCACCAGATGTTCCCATTTAAAATGCTGCCTTCAAGGAGACTGCCCTAAGTTAACAGCAGTGACTGTTCAGAAGTCAGCCGCAGAACACTGCAATTATTGCACATACAAGCCTGTCAAATGCTCCCGAATGCCTCCTGGTTTCCGAGTTGGCGGAATTTTCCTAAAAATAATACAACACAACATTTGGCACTGTCAAGAAATGGGGCTAGATTTACCAGGCCACTGACATTTACCCCTGAAGCCTCAACATTTATTTCTTTGAAGGGAACCTTCCTCGATTTGTTCTTCCAATGTGGACATAAGAGAGCATAGAGGTTTTTTATTGTTTTTTTGTTTGTTTTGTTTTGCTCTGTTGTTTTTTTTGAGATGAGGTCTCACTGTGCAGGTCAGGCTGGTCTTGAGCTCACTTTGTAGCCCAGGCTGGTCTTGAATTCACAACTATCCTCCTGCCTCAGCCTCCTGAGTGCTGGGATTACAGGCATGTGCCACCACGCCCAGCTGTTTTCTTTGTTTTTTAAGTTTTCTTCTGTAGTCTTCAAATTTTCTGTAATTCTGTATTGCTTTAATAATGAGAAAATAATTTCACTTAAAAAGTCAGTCTAGTAAGACAAGGTAAATAAAATCTTGGGAATATAAACTCTGCCTTCCTGTCCAGTCCCAAGGTGGTAGGATGTGGTGGTTAAGACTGTAGGTTTTGTAAACAAAGAGATAAAGCTTAGAACCTTGGCTTGTTCAATTATTTAGCTTTGTGACCTTGGAAAATTGCTTACCATCTCTAGGCCTCAATTTGCCAGACTGTAAAATGGAAGCAATGATAACAGCTCCCTCCCAGGGTGGTTGGGAAGAAGGCATGAGATGGCTGATGTGCGTAAGGCCCTGAACATACTGTCATGAATGCAAATTTCCCAGTAATCCTGGGATGTTGCTAATACTCTGTTGCAAGTTTGGATCTGAATTTAAATATCATCAAATTTTTGTGTCTGTTCTCTTCTTACCCATTTTTCCTATTTTATTTTTTTGGGTTCAGGTCAAAGTACACATAGTAGGGTGCGCTGGTCAGAGTGTGCAGCTTAGCAAGCTCCTGTGTGTGTCTACACCAGTGATGGGGAACCTTTTAGAGCTTTCAGTGATTAAAAACAGCCTGCTGTGGCCAGGGATATAGCTCAGCGGCACAGCGCCTGCCTGGCAAGCACAAGGTCGTGAGTTCGATTCCCAGCACAAAAAAACAAAAAAAACACAAAAAAAACCCAGCCTGCTGCAGCAACTAAGCCATAGGTTTGCCACCACTGGTACACCATGGAACCACTACCCAATCAAGATAAGTAAGGTGGCTAATTTCCCAGCAGGCTCCCTAAGGCCCCAACCCTTCTCCCAATGTTATCTCGACTCTGACATCTATCACTACAAAGTAGTTTTCTTATCCTCCAACTTCCTGTAACTGGAAAACAGCATGAACTCCTTTGTGTCTGGCTGCTTTTGTTGAACATATGTCTGGGAAATTTGTAATTGTTGAGGATAGCACTAGGTTGTGTTTTCATGGCTTTGTGCAATTCCTATATATGACTACTATCACAGTTTGTTTACCCGTGCATTTACTGATGGATATTTCATTTGTATGCAGTTTTGAGTCATTATGAAAAATGCTGCTAGTTGCTCCTATATTTTTTTGAGAATGTAAAGATGCCCTTCAGTTGCAGAACTGGAATTGCTGGGTCCTACAGTAGATGCACGTTTAATTGTAGTAGATGCTCCTGAGTCATTTTCCAAAGTGACCACACTATTGTAAGTCCCATCAGGAGTGCAACAGCCTTCTAGTTGTTCCTCTACATCTTTAACCACACTGAGTATGATGAATTTTTGTTTTGATTTGTTTTGCCCCTCTCCTCCCAACCCCAGTACTAGGGATTGAACCCAGGGATACTCTACCACTGGGCTACATCCCCTTTTTATTTTTTTTCTGAGACAAGATCTCAATAAATTGCCCAGGCTGGCCTTGAACTTGCAGTCCTCCTTCCTCAGCCCTTACCCAACTCTAGTAGTGAGGATCATAGGTATTCGTGTCTTTTTCCTTGTAACAATCCTGCGGGCCATACAGTGGTTGTCTCACTGTGGCTTCACCT